TATATGAGTCATTAACCAGGAATTGTACATTAAAACTCCATGTATTTGAATGAATTGTCTCTATTTACCCCAAGTGTACAAGTAAAGTGTCTCTAATTATCCCTATCGAGGTAATTAGAGACACTTTGATGGAACTTTTTGCATTTTGGATTTGGCTCAAAATTGGTCGAAGATTTTCAAAAGATTTTTACATGAACGTGTAGAAAAATGTTCGGCTCACCACAGTGTTCAACAGCAAATTTTTCCGACCAAAAACCGCCAAGAAATAGCAAAAAAACGACAAAAGTTTTAAACAGTGTCTCTAATTACCCGAAAGTGTTCTAATATTCTTACTTCCTGGATTCATCGTTCGTTTTCCTTTCTTTCTAGATTGTTTCCTTTCGTACATCTGCTTGCTTTTAAAGAACGACTTAGAACACTCCCACACGATAAATAAAGATTTATGGCATCATTATTTCTTTCTAAGCCTGTTTATTAAGAAAAAGATGGCTACAACAGATTTTGACTAAGCGAGTAGACTAAAGTCTATGGTATAGAGTCACCTCAACACTCTAACGAAAAAACTGTCATAAATACATATATAGGTGCTACGTGTTGAATATAATAACAAAAAGAAAGTACAGTAATAGACGAATGTCTTTGAGTCTTTGATCATATTTGGAAAAATGGTATTAGTGAGAAGTAAAAGGGACAGAATATGTTGTACTCTAGATTGCAGCAGTGATCAATCAGACAAAAAAAATGTTTTATCGATCATTCACAGCAAAACGATCTGACTGAATAATATAGTCGGTAACAACTTTGGCAATAATCTTGTTTTCTTCAAGTGTTTCTAAGAAGAAATTTCTAAAAATAACGTTTTTAAATCAAAAGAAAAATTTATAAAAAGCTCGACCTGCAACAAATCTTTATAGATTCTGCATTTTTTCTGCACTACAGATGTGCCAAGATTCGTCCACAGATCTGATGTAGATCTAAAAACTCTTTGCAGCATCTGTGCGGTTTCTTTGAAGTTTCTTTGCAGAAAATCTGCACATTTCTTGCACATTACGCTTGTTGTCATAATGGATTATTTTATAATGATTTGCAAAATGTGGCGTATAGTTCAGTAGCCAAAAATAGATGGAAGCAAAATCTTTTTTTGCTCGACTGTATGAACATACAAATACCACATATTTGAGAGCGTTATATTGTCCTACGATTGTTTTAATTAATGTCATGAAGTTTGCACGCTTTAGAAAATGAAAGTTGTTGATTTTTCATCAAAAACTTGAGTAAAAGACTATTATGTTGTTCGGAAAACAATGCCTACAATCATATCCAGAGTGCCCAGATCTCCTGATTTGACCAGAAGATTCTTGAGTTTTAGACTTCGCCTGATGAAAATTCTCCTGATTTCAGGAGCTGATTTTTAAGATTTTCTCCTGATTTTCAATTGTTTTTCTGCATCGATTTTGTTTTTTCCAAAACTGAGATAATTAGTTTCAAAAACAGACTTTCTGGATCAAGAGTCTAAATAATTGTACATTGAAAGAATCCTCTGTATGCTTATCAAATGTTCTCATCACAAGAAGATGAGATTAGTGAACTTCCAAACCCATAGGATCAAAGTCGTCTTCCTCAATCCGTACTGCAGTCTGCAACAAATGATAATACTGTTCATTAAACAATATTTCAAAAAAAACATTTTTTTGAAAAAACCTATGGTTTTGAAAAAGTTATTCAATGTTTTTGTTTTGCTTATCCAGGAAAAAATTGCCTGATACTCTTCTGTTTTTCTCCTGATTTTAAAAAATATCTCCTGAGCTGGATTTTTTACGAAAAACTGGATTTGGGCATTCTGATCGTATCTCCTACTTCATTCGTTTTTACTTACTTTAACAGATCCTGTTATATTCTTTCGTATCTCTGCTCACATTGTTTTTTCCGAACGTAATGTATAGTAACAGCTGAGGAGAAGTGTATACTTATGTATACATGTGTATCCTATATGATAATATTTTTAAAAAAAGAAAGAATAACCGTTTTATATATATAGGCCAGAACCTTTCTCTTTATCAACACATACGACTTCATCTTTTCTTAACATAGTGCGAAATTGTTTCTCATCGTTCTTTTTGCAGATTATGTACGTTTTTGTCCTTTTTTCAAAGGAATTATTCCAAAAAAGGAAATATTTTACAACGTAAGTGTACAGCAGTTTCCAAGAGAGGAAGAGAGTGAATTAAATGAATAAATCTTTCCAATTTCTCCTTAGTCACAGAGTTGAACTATATCCTTCTTATCTTTCTCAAATAATGCATAAAATCTAAGGTATCTTCTTCTGCGTAGGCTCAGTTAAACAAAGTGATTGTGTCTGATCTCAAAATGAAAATGCGCAGAAGTAAGAAAATGCACCCAAAGATTGATGTCTTCACAAATGTGAGTATCCTCAGTGTCAGATCGCTTTGCCATTAGTGACAAAATGTAGTGAAGATCAGCTTGATTCTGTTTGACGCACAGAGAATTGGGGTTCAGCTATTCCGCCTCATTCGCAGGATGTCAGATTAGCTCTAGCAACGAACTGATCCTAGCAATAATATCCACGAATATACACTCTGTGAAAGTTTAAGCGTGACTACTCGATGCTTCACATATGGCAAACATAACCTTATTGGTAAAACTCACAAGTGAATAAACTAAGAGACATCAGTCTTTCTCACTTTTAATTTAAGATCAGATGTCGAATCAGAATTGAGAAATACAGGGAAGTAGGACTTAGTTTATTTGAACAAGAAATGTTTCTGAAAGGAAAACTCCACAGCTTATCGAAAATCAGATAGTTCAACATTATAACTACAGACACTAGATGTTTATGTACAGTAGAAGAACAGCTGACCGCAGTTGCTGTACACTCTCTCTGACTCGGTCTTAATGTTGACTTTTCCTTTTCAGATAGAGATTATCGCAGATAGAGAGCACCGCCGGTTGACGAAGACTTCAAAAATCGATTCTACCATATTCTCGAAGAAAAGTCCGAGTAAAACCTAATGGAATCAAGCGTAACGAGCTAGAAGTCTATCACAAAGCTAGAGATCGATTAGGCATGAGTTTTTTGACGTATGCTCACACAATTACATGTACGCTATCACATAACCACAAGCTGCAGCATCACACTAAACTGCAAATTTTTCTACAAAATCTGCAAAGATTCTGCATCAGATCTGCGACCAAATGTTGGCATATCTACAGACGCTTTTCTGATCCCGATCTGCTTCAAATCTTTCCAGAAACTTTGCAGAATCTGCTAAGATTTTAAGAAGATACAAGCCTTTCCACAGTTGTCAGAAACCAACTCCACATCTGCAGAAGCTAATATTTGCATCTCTGTTGTAAATAAACCTTGTTAGAATGCTACGTTTAGTGTCAAAAGGTGAAACTCCCTATACTGATCAAGCTAGGTCAATAAAAGTCAGCGAGAAATTTGCTTAGAAACGATTTGCTACTACTGTGTTTTATTTCGGGAAACTAAACATGAAACTTATTCATCTATATTGCATATGCAAACATTTGTTAAATCGACGGCGTTCAATTATATGTCTTATGACACTATTGATCAAGTAATGCATTGTTCGTGTGACACTCTTCATAATTGGATTGTCCATTAGTTTTTTAAAAAAATCAATGGAGCATAAAAAACCATTCGATGCCAAAATAATGGAAAACTTTGTAACGTAACTGATCTTAGAAAGAATGGTTGCAAAAATATAGCCGTCCTCTTAAGAGGTTGTGACCATCCTCGTAACAGGTTATGACCGACCATTTAAGATGTGACCGCCTAAAAAACATTCCCGTGATAGAACTCAATAGCAGACAGATACGTAAGAGGCTGTGACCGACCTAAGTGGTTGTGATGGCCAGTTTAAGAGGTTGCGACCGAAAGTGATATCAAATTTCGTTATGTGGTAAAAGATGGCGCTAAGGCCATAAATCCAGAAAACCTTGAAAATTCCTGTACCATCTATTTGAAACAAAGTCAACCGTGAGACTTTCAACCTTCAGTTCAAGAATGTCGGTCGTGTTTTATGCGCACTGCATAGATGTAAGCGGTCAAGATTTTCTCGACCGGGTCGGTAACCGGTCTAAAAAATTCTGACCGGGCCGGCCCATAAGCTGTGAGCAACACTAAAGCACATGTGGAACAATCGTTACTTACATGAGAAAAAACGTAGTCATGTACGATGAGATTGATAAAAATCCAGTTTTATATATTTGTCTTATTTTTATTATTTCCACGATTTAAAGATCAATATTCAGGAGAGTAAAGCGTGTTTGATGGATTTTTATATTGACAAGCCTTCTGCAGTAATCTCTCAGCTTATTCTTGGTACATGACGAAAAGAATGACTCATGCAAAGCATGATACAAAAGAAATGAAAATACGTTTGTATAAAACCTGTGCTGTATGAAATATTGCGGTAAAAAAAACGTGCAGTTAAATACCAGAATACGGTAGGGAACGTATTACATTAAAAAAATGTCATTACCCGTTTATTTTTTTATGCATTTACGATAGCAGGTGCATCTTTTTCTTGAATGCGATTTGCACGTAGACCTCGTCTACCTGTTCGTCGTCTCTGATAGACTCTTTTTGCTGAAAGTTCTGGAGCATATAATTTTGGTCCTTTGCAAATATATTTATCCATAACGACTGGCTCAAATTCTTCAAATGATGACATATTAAATTTAAGTCGATTATTTTCGATTGTATAATTTGTTTGTTTAAAACGGAAACCCCACAAAATTTCACGTGATTTGTAACTTGTACGATATTGACACGCGTCACCCGTTGACTCCATCGTTCCTTCAACAATAACAACAATTTCAAATAAATCTGATTCAGAATTATACAATCTTGTTGGAGTGATCGGATACAATGGGCTTTTTTTGTCAATACGATGTTCGATGACTAAATATAATTTAAATAAATTTGTGACTAAACAACAAAAACAAGAGAATTACAAACACTTACCTATTGGGCAAATAAACATAATATTCGTATTCGATGGTAATATGGCCATATCATAGTTTTCCATTGATGTTGTATCCCCTAAAGGTGTCTTCTGTAATTTACAATAGATCACACGAATAGCTGGACGTGTCAATTGAGTAACTACATTGTTTCCTAAAATTATTACAAGTTCTTTTAAGATAAAATGTACTAAAAAGCTTTATATTCAACTCACCGATTTTAAACATGAAACAGAGCTGTCCATCTCTCGGTGCGATCACTGCACGTTCACTAAATGATAAAACTCTCATTGATTGTTTTGGTCGTGCGAGTTTGTTAAACACAATTCCACCAACATAAATTGTAATCAAAACTCCGACACACGATTGAATCATAAGTAGAATTACACTTGCTTTACACTCATCATTAATATGACGATAACCATAACCAATTGTATGTTGTGTTTCGAGTGAAAATAAAAAAAATGCTAGAAAACTATTTCCAGTGTTAACCAGACATGGTCGATGATTATTCTGTAATGATGCTTTTTCTTGAAAATCTCCGTGATAAAACGCTAATAGATACCATATAATAGCAAATAGTAACCAACTAAATAGGAAAACGCCGACTACTAACGTCAAAACCGATAACCATTTTGCCGATATTAAATTTGAATACCAATCAGCACATGTTCTACTCCATACGAAAGGGCGATGTTGAATAAAACATTCAATACGTCCGGCTTTTCCTACTAAACGTTCAGGTAACCATAGACCTTTGACATTATTTTTAAAACCAAGCATATTGTAAATAATGTTTAGATAAAAATTGTGAAAAATATTTCAAATTAGTCACCTGCTGATATTTCCGTGCCACTTCTATCATCTTTTTTTGTTAGGTGACAACTAATTTTTAGTAGATGAACACGTGCTGAATATATAAATCGTTGCTATTATTATTATCACTACACCTATAAAACGTAACCATTGAGGCGTAAAATATATTCTTTTTTCCTCATATTGCAGAATTAAAACTCCTTGATTTCTTAATTTTTGGCCTGAAAACACCAAAAGTCCCATTTCTTTACTTAAGACGTAGTATATTAAGTTTTACCGTGTTAATAGCATTTTACATATCCTTCCTGTACTCTGCTTCTAAATGTACAAATTAACTTTTAACAAAAAAACTTTTTTCATGAAAAACTTTGTTTTTTATCGACAAAAAATCATGCGAAACAGAAACAATACAAAACTTACATGTACATCGGCACCTTATTCACAAAAACAGTTTAGCTGTAGATGAGTAAAAAGAACAAAAAAATAACTGCATGTCAAAACAGAATAAATCGACAAAATGCCTTTAAATCTTGGCTACCTCTTACTCGATCTATCAACAGACAAGAAGCCGGTATGGTAAAATTGTCGATTACTCATTTCTGTTTTTCATACATCCGAGCCGCGAGCACAAAAAGTATTTATCAATTAAACAATTCATTGCCGTTCGTTCCCTATATATTGCAAATCAAAAATCAGCTCATGTAAAATCCATGTTAGATTTGAATCTGTTTTCGAATTATAAACAAAAAACAGCTCTACATCATTATGCTAGAGTCCTTGATATTCTAATTCATTGTAAATTTGAATTAACGTACAGCATGGACAAAAACATGTTAGACAAGAATCACCACAAATCGAACCCTAAAGCATATAAGAGTACAAGAAACTTAATATTTAATACAGTTCAACTATTTGAAATTGGGTATAATAATTACTTCTATTCGAAATCCAGTTCTAACTTTTGTTCTCAATGCCGTATTACCTAAAGAAAGAAATATAACATACAATTAATAAAGATATTATTAAAAAGAAAATTATTGTACCTCCTAGTAAACACCATGTACATAAACATTCATTTGTTCGGCTGTGTAATTTGCATAGAAAGCATGGTGTACACCAATAAGCATAACAGCCTAAGCATTGAAAATAGATATCAGTTAGAAGACTCTGATTTTTGATAGCAATACCTACATGTGCCAAGATCGTTACAACAACCGCAAATACCGTTTCCAAGACTCCATTCATTCTCAAACTGCCACACACTTCCACTTGGTTGAGTTCTCACGGTCCTTTTAAAAATTAAACAAATGATCTTAACAACAGAGTTTTCGCATCTACTCCGCAGAAGCTACTAGGACACTCTGTATATGAATATGTTGTGATAAAAAAGTAATCCTATTATTTAAAACTGGCAACATTTGTTAATACTTTGAGTATCAATGTGTTTCAAGTAAGTACATTTTAGCTGACATCAGGATCTGGATTTAGGGAGATTAAGACTTTTTACTCAGAAGCAGTGTAAAATTTAGTTTTTATATAGTCAAAAACCAATATTTTCAAAGGCTTTCAACCGTAAAAAAATGAACAGTCTTACTGATAAATGATACGGAACTGACAATTGTCGTCCGTGAAGTGACTTACACCATAACTATTTTATTTTTGTAATATATTTTCAAGTAAAGTTTTTGTCAACACATCTTTTATATGAGTCGATACTTATTAAAACAGAAAAGACGACCGAAATTTGTTTGCACTTACTTAACATAAACGTACCACGCAAAAAAATACAGAAGTAACCATGAACAATAGAAAAAGAAAAAGAAATATTCTTGTTTAGATTATTTTTTTCAAAAAGTTGTTTTAATCATTTGACGTATTAGTTAAAGTAGTAATAACAATACAAAATTTTCAAACTCAATTTGCCGCACATGAAAAGTCAGTTATACTTGTTGTTTGAGGTGGCTGAAGTAGAAACCATAATTCACGTGTATAGACTATCTAATAATCTAACAATCTAAAAATATATCTGAACAAAACCCCTATTCATGCAGGAAAGAGCGATGAATTTTGCGATAAGAACTTTTTGCAAGATTTTATAAGATTATTTAAGAAATGACAACAAGATTCATGTATAGATTTTACATTATCTTATGTAATCTTGTGATAACAGTTTGTACCTTAGACAAAATCCTGTGCATTTCCTATATATTTTTCTACTAGGATCCTATAGAATCCTAATCTTTCAGATGTTGTTTTGATTCGTATAGGATTACAATAATTTTTCAATAATCGTATTTTCTTGTTAGGATACTATTGTGAGTCTAATAGGGTTCTGGCAAATCCTACAACTTTCCGGTACTCCTGATTTTATTTGAATTTTGCTAGGATCCTAGGAAACCCAAGCGAAATCCTAGTAGGATACTGATAGGATATGTGTAGGATCCTGGCATTCGTAGGTGTCTTACTAGGGTATGAACTTGCAGGAAATTTGCAAAATCATACAGTAATTCATAAGATCTTATAACGAAGCCATCTAAACTTACAGGTTGATATGTCTGCGGTTTGCTATCAGTCGCCCGTATCTCCCATTGTTGTTTCTTTTTCCGATATTTTCTAGTATTTGCAAGGTCATTACATTCTAAGAGCGTATTTAGTCACGTTCCTAACTGCACAGAAAATATTTTTTATCACATCGATTTGGCACGTGTACACTGGCATGCGCATGTGATACACAAATTAAAAGTTTTTGGCATGGATGTGCACTGGTGCCAAAAGTTTTTTTCAATCCCGATTTTGTTTTGTCAATATATACATAAACATCACAGTATATTGGTAATAGTTAAAATATCTTTTTGACTTCATCTTTTCCTCCTCATAAGAGAAATACCAAGACAGCAGAGCCCAAAACGAATCGAATGATTCGACATTCAGTTCGGCTGCTTGCCGAACCGAATTTGATTTTTGAAAGACGAATCAGTAGCTCAGTTAAAACGATGGATGTCATTAATACTGATTTAGGATCGGTATGGCACGCGTGTATATCTTCCTAGTTGAGTACAATTTTCAGTATTTGATGTGAAAAGAAATAGCATGTGTTAAAATTTAAAGAATAAACAAAAAAAAGTATCAGGTACTCAGATTCACTTGCAGTGACTGAAACAAAGCATTTTATAGAGAGCTGATTTGTGACCAAATTAGCGCATAACGATGGAATAAGATCGCAGAAAGCAAAAGCTGTGCATTTCGTAGAAGGTTCTATCCATTAGTTTATTTTTCATAATTATCGGTTCAATGATTTCTGTTTCTTCCCGTTCATATCGGGTTATTTTTGTATGATTTCTTTCTCCTTTTGTATTATATCTAGGTTCGGTCTCTGGACAGATAAGTAGATACTAACATTTTAGTTAAAACAACTGAATTTTGTCAACGTCATTTACGTAAGGAAATCCTTGTATCTAATCTGAATCCGGTGAGTTAAGTGTTCATCAAACTTTAGTCTCCACAATCTGTGATGTGTGCATGAACTTCGATACTTCTGAGTTCATCGAAAACGAAAGGCAAAAGTTTTAAATTATCTTCAGATCCCCTTCAGATTTCTGGCTTAAATAGTTATGACGTTCCAACAAATATTACTCAAATATTCAAATATTACTGTCGCAGTATTTTTCATATACACCCTGTAGTCACCCTCTTAGGAGAAAACGGGAGGTAGTAAAAGCTTGATCTTGAATATAAGAGGTGAAACGTGTCTCAGTGCGAGGCGTACTCTTGAATAACCCAACAAGTTTCAGTCAGTCCACGTACTTATGATCTATTACGACGTACTAGACAAAATTGTGACTAGTTTGATAGATCAGTGTTTAAAATTTGAATTCCATGCGCTAACCTGTTTTTAAGCTCTTAGTAACACTATTTTCTTTAGACAGTATTTCTATCCTGAAAATCTGAAGTGGATCTCTAGATAATTTAAAAATTCTGCGTTTCGTTTTCGATGAACTCAAAAGAAATAATACAAAAATAACCCGATATGAACGGGAAGAAACAGAAATCATTGAACCGTTAATTATGAAAAATAAAATAATGAACGAAATTATAAAAAGCAATTGTAACTAATGAGACTGATGATGCTGTTGATTTATATCATCCGTAAAGATTTGGTTCAGGTGCATTTTTGATATGAATGATACTGGAGATCTTCTCTCTAAAGAGAAAACGTTATTCTATAAATTTCAGAATTAGTATGATCGTTTTAATCATCTTCGAATAAATTTTGGATTTTTGGCTTCGTCAAAAACCAATATGTTGCAACAACGTTTGAAAACCATCATATAACTACATGCATGAGAAATGATAGTGCTTATTGATACCGTTACACAAAAGCATTTTAGATCACAAGTCAAACTTTGTCAAAAATATCTCCGATCATAAATTTTCGATTTACATTATTCTAATACAAAAAGATCGATAAAAAATGAATTTATGATCTACAAATAAACTATGTCGAACTAGCTAAGTGCCATAAAACTATTTCCAAGACAAAAGTTTTTCCTCCTTTTAGGTGATGACTCAAAATACTTCAAATGAGACATTCTATTAAACTATTTTAGGAAAGAACAAACTGAAATTATAGTTTTATCTATTTTTAAAGCATTTTATACGCTCTTCAATGTGCAATATTCATGTTTTATTTCAAAGTTAGTTATAAGGTTTTTACAACTCAACTTTGTACGATTTTCTTTTGTTGATTAGTCCGAGATATTTATGCATAAAAAGTAATGTTATATGAGAAAAAGTGTGATATGCATATTACAAAATTAGTTTTATATCAAATTTCCAAAAGGAACTTTTTTGCAAGGAAAATCTAGATCAAATCTGCAACTGGACTTTATATATTCGCTACATAATGTAGATGATATGGACTGCACAGATTATTAGCAAGATATGAGAAATTTTTGCAGATATTTCTCATGATTACAAAATATTTCTCTATTTCGTTGAGGCTACAGCGTGTAGCAGAAATGGAAGTCCAGTTCCAGACTTGAACGTTTTTTTGATGAACTTGAACTTGGCTTGGACAGGAAAGTCCTCAGACTTGTCCATTTCTGACGTGAAATTAATCTGTAAAAGTTTGTGAAGAGTTTGCGGATAATCCATATCAATCTAAAACAGATCTGTGCAAATTTTGCACAGATTCTGTTATCAATCTTGTCTACATTTTGCATGCAGATTCTGCACAGAAGTTTGCAAATGGTTGCAAGTGTGTTGCAGAAATCTATAGATACGTTTTATCTGGATTTTATCTTCTTCATATGTTAATGTGTATCAATCTTTCCATCTGCTTGTTGTATACGTGGCCGTTTTTTTTGATGATGGTGAGCATTATGCCTTGCCAAATTGACAAACCAAATCGTTGTTGCGAATGGCCAAGATACCCAAAGAAAATTTCTTTATAATCTGTCAAAGTTCTTCATTAAACTGAGTTTAAGCTTCTCTTTTTTAGTAGAGCGTCCGCCTTTGCTAAATGAAGCAAGATCTGAAAACTGTTCAGTTGACTCTACCGCAATTCGCTACTTAGAATCTTAACATCCCTCCGCTACCATCTCTACCACAAGAACACAACAACAACATGTACCTTCTCAACGAGACCTGTACAGAAAAGCTTAATATGGAACACAAGTGGTAAAACAATATATCAGAATTCGCGATCTGACTTCGAGAATTAAACGTTTACAATTGAGAGCAAGCTATTACTCACACCAAATATCAAGAATCTCCCACAATGACAAATAATAACTATGAGACAAGGATGATTTTTCCTCAACTGCTTCAGTTTGTCTTCTCTTTTACTCTCTCAACGTTTTTACAACATCGACTATCTTTTTTTGAACTCATATATGCCCGAATGGTTAATTTTAATAACTAGTTCGTAGTTTTTTCTCAAAAAAAAGTACTTCAGAATATTATGTACGCGCTTTATTTGGTGGGAGAAAAAATAATTATTATATCTGAAATTAGTGAAAAGATTCAATGATAAACTTTTTCAGACAAAAATTGGTAAAGAATTTTTTCGGCCATCTTTCCTACATTAAGTTATCGTAACCATTATTTTTTTAAATAGTCACAGTGACGATCACAAGTGATTGTTACCTCGGCCGTAACAATACATATACACATCTCTACTGCCAAGTTGTACTTCTTTCTGTTGTAATATCATGTCATAAAAAAGCAAAATGTAGCTATATCTTCTATGACGGATATTTCAATAAGTGTCTCTTTGTTAGCAAAAAAGTAAATGCATCTAGATAGTTTCACGCTTTTTCATAATATTACTGATTGTAAAATTATACATTTTGATTCTTCAAATAATATATGTTGCAATCACTAAACCTGAAGTCGTAGTTGACTGGTGCTAGAGTTTCCATACTCTTTTCTTTAGTTAATTTTTAGACGATGGGAAGGCTTAAGTAGAGAAAAAGATACGATTATTATAAGTTTGACATGCTCTTTCAAATGAAATAAAAATTTCAAATCAATAGGTCAACTCTCATTTTAATTGTAGAAAAATTGAAGAGACATTTGTTTCGTCTTTGTATGCATATCCTATAGTTTATTGATTTTTCTAAAACATATTTGAATTTTGCTACAG